TCAGATTTTATGTGCATTGCAGATAAAACCAGCCTACAGTGTATGTTTGAACATTAAAATATCATTCTTAAATAATTCTTAATAATATATAACTAGAATTATGTGGCACCAAACACAAGAATATCATGACGGTGAGTTTTGTTTAAAATAAATACTTCAAAATAAGATATTTAGGCTTTTGCTAAATAAATAGATTTAAAAAAGTATGTAGTTTCATTGACTCCTAACTGCACAAAGTAAAACAGTTATTTAAATTCAACAATGTTAAAATAATAATTCCTAACATTCTTAATATTTTCTGAATATTTCTAATAACTGATCAGGCTTCAGTCAAGGTGCACTCACTTGCACATTTGTGAGAACACCAAATACTGCAGTCATAAAGAAAGTCAAGTTCTTAAGTCAGAATTTAAAATTAAATCTCCTAAGAATCACTAAAACTGTTCAACTCAGAACTGAACCGGAGGTCACAGGTTTCCAGGAAGACTCTCGATCATCAGACGATAGCAGGAGTCATCCTCCACCGCAGTGGCTTTCCAAAAGCAGTGCAGGCTGTTAATGAGCCATTCTTAAAGTGATATAACAGCGTTATCAATTTTCCCATCTGAATTTCTGCTGCAGATCATATAAACATATTCTCCGAAATGTCAAACCATCGCTTCAAGGAAAACTTGGAAGTCAGGACATTTTCTTGTAATGTTTTTAACTTTGCGATGTTAAGTAAGAGACCTGAAAACTCCTTTCAGCAGCTGTAAAAAAAATAAAGCATGTGAGCAAGTTTGAACAGAACTTAGTTGAGTGTATTGCACAAACACAACTAGGCCAGTGAGTGTGTGTTTGGGTTAAACTAAACACAGATGTTAACCACACAGACACACCCCCACCCCCAACAGAGCTATGAGGGTGCCACTGGCTGTGCGTGTGGCTGCTGTGTAGAATAAACGACTGGTGAACTGTACTGTAAAGTTAAAATTCTATGATTACAGCAACATGATAAGAGATTAAAACTAGCCTTAATAATGCTGTAAAGCTTTGATTCTCCGTTTTTTAATGTCTTACCTTTAACCAAGGTAATTGAAAGGACAAACACTAATTATTTATCAACTGCAATAATATTAATAATAATAATTTCTGGGATATGCAATCTCATTTTGATGAAGTTACTTATTTGTATTCTTTTAGGTAGTCATACTGACGGACAAAACAAGTTATCTACATCTATGCCCCTGACAGTTTCCTTTATAGCATCCAAAGTGACAAATTCCTTTCTGTACCAGTAACCAGGAACCGTGCAGCCCTTATCTGACTGCCCACACACCCGGGAGGACCAACAATAACTTTTGACACACACTCCCTGGAAAAACCTGTCTCTGTGCTTGTCTTTCACTTTTAGTGGTAATAAAACGAGACATGAAGCTCCACAATCCAGAGGCCAAGTTTTCTTTTGGAGAAGATGCTGAGATGTAGTAGTAGCGTCCTAAGCACAACTCAGCCAAGTATTGTTTCAAAACTGTTTTTCGACTCAGCCTGATGGAATACACCCATTAATGGTCGCCATTGTTTAAAGGTCGTTGTTATCTCCTCCTCCAGTGCTACACAATCACCAGGCTGCAGCCCAGTGGCACTGACCTTTCTCTCATCAAACTGAACCTTTGGACATGAGTGGGAGAGGGTATCCTAGCTACCATTTTCATGGCAGCTTTACGTTTGTTTACTTGGTCATCCCTCCCCCCCGTAGTTCCTACTCAGTGTCACGTGTTACTTTGTTGACCCTCCATGTCCAAACCAGTTATTGTGTCTTTACTGTGGACACTTTCTGGAACAAGCAGCAAGATCAGAGGGACTTTTTGTATGACTCATGTCCTTTCCACTAACATGGAGGGGGCAGGATGTATACTGCAGCCAGCACCTAGCGGGGTGAGCGAGAAGCTTTGGCTTCACTTTTAGAGAGCTGTCATGTCGTCCATCTTTATATACTATCTATGATATGCAAGCTAAACTTAGCACAAAGACTGGTAACAGGGGGGGAGGGGGACTGTCGCTCTCAGAAAGTAACCTCCAAACCTCAATGATTTACATGTCATACATCATTTGTTAAAAATAAAAGTGCTAAAACAATGCGTTATTGTTTTACAGAGAGTCATTTGATGGAGAATCTCATGGCTGGCTGACCGGGTGACTTCCTGAATTGAACAGTTTCATTTACATTTTACTCGACATCCTGATTCTCACTGAAAAAAGTGAGGGTATATTTCTGCTTCATTCCCCTCTGAGCGTCACCTCCCGCAGCGTAAGCCCCCTGATGAGAGGAGTCTAATCCATTCAGGGTTGGTTGTATTGTTGCTGAGGATGTGCTTCAGTCAGCTATCAGTGCGTGGCACAATGGGGCCCCGGTGGTCAACGCTTCGGCCTGCATGTCACATCCTGTTTGATGATAAGACTCACCCGATCCCCACAGATTGACACCAGTGTCGTTCCACTGACCATGAAAAAAACGGAGCTCAGAGTGATGGTGTAGCAAACACACGCGAGAAAGTATAGAGTCGAAGTTAGAGTCATTTTAACAAGATGTGAGAATACTATGTTGTGCTTGATCAAAAACAGAACCAGACACACAGTGGCTCAGCTGTTTCCTCCTTTTATCACAGACACATCTGTTTATTCACTCAAATGAGATGTGAATATTTTGGGTTACTATGCCGACCATACACATCAACACAAACATGAGATCAAGCAGGAATTGTCACATGCATTTTTTGTGCTCTGGTGCTTGGTCACTTGATGACCAGCTGCTGGAGTCACAGTCTGTATATCTAATGAATTACAAACAGTAGGACGCTCACGCTGGTGTTTACTAACTCCCGCGGGTTGTTCTGCCTGCAGTGTGGACAAACTGTGATTGCATACAGGTCAATATTATCTTTAGTTAGGTTTTTACAATGGTGTTGCAACAGTGTTGTGATGAAACAGCTTGTGAGAGCCATCCTAGCACACTTCCTGTTAAACTGTAAAAAGTACAAACAATTTAACTGCAGCATCATCAGCAACGATGTGTCAACAAATGCAGTCCATCAGATTAAAACAGAAGTTATCACTCTGTTTGAAAAGGGATGTTAGCTTGGCCTGTGTTTACGCTTCAGAGATACTTCAGTATTATTCCTTGTCATTAGTGAGTCCTTATCAAGTTCTACAATATACTGTTACTTTTTATTGTTTGTGTGCCGGACGTTGTGTGTGCAGAGTCTATGATGGGGAGTGAAGTTAGAAATCTTTGTGTTCATCCTACCTGGTTAATCTGCTGTCAAGATTTTATAGTAAATTTTTTTCATAAAATGAACTTAATATTTGTGTGGTGTATATAAACTATATAGACTCAACTGGTGCACTTAACTCACTTCCTTGGGCCTTTAACCATACACAAGTGTGAAGTCGATTAGATGAATGGTGAGCCAAATATGTGTTCCACAGACGGACAGACAGATGTTTGTGGAATAATATAATATAGTTGGTAGATATCTCAACACTTATTCACAGAGGAGTAGCTGTCTGTTTCTCATGGGCTGAATTCTCAAGACGACATCCTGCTTTCAAAAGGAGTCTAATCTGAAGATGTGAAATAAAACTGGCTGCATTTCATTAGAAAATTCACTGAGCTCCAAACTACATTTGACCTGAATGCATTTAATAACCTGCAGTGCCGTGAAGCAATGACTTATTTGTGGGTTTTCTGCTGGATGCAAACACATTGTCTTCTTTGAGTGAGTCTAACATGTTTGGACAGACAGCCTTGTTACTCATACCATGCATACAACAACCCACTGTCTGCAGGAGGAGAACAAGTGCAGTAGGTAGAAGCTGGGTGTGGCCACTGTGAAGTTTGCACTAGGATTTGCTGTGTATAATGAACTTTGCATCAGATCCTGCAAAGAGACGTATCAGAGAGCAGAGCTGTGGTGAATGATATTGTTTGCTGTGTGTGAAGAGGTGATCCTGGTGAAAGTCAATATATTTCTGGTTATATTTGTGCGGTCTGTTGTCTGCAGAGGTTGTTTCTGAAGATGGAAAGGGTCTATGAAATATTTGTTTCTGCTGGGAAGGAAAATCAATTTTCGTCTTAACCCTGAACTGTTTTCATTGAAGATCTACCTGGATGACTGTGTGACCTCTAAATATATAAGATTCTTGCTCAGTATCTGTTTTTTATGAAGCCAAATGCAGTTTATTTAACCTGTTAATGGAAGAAACACCTGGTGTTACTTCACAACCTACCTGATTGTGACAATGACATTACCTTGACTGTGACATTGATGAGTTACACAAGCAAAGCTTCAAAAATATTAATTCTTTAAATCTAAATTGCCATTTTAGTTAGCACTGTAAGTGAGAGAGAGAAAGTCCCCCCC